CCTTAAGATTTAACCAGAAACTGTCATAACTTTTCTAGAGTTGCGGGTCAACACAAAGATGTTCATTCTTCAGGCGTCGGCACGAATGCTTTTGATATCATGGGCCTATTTTCACTATTCACAATTAGAGAAAAAATAATATTTCAGAAGCTCTGGGAGCAAAATATTTCCTGGGACTTTGATGTTCCCGAGGACGTCAGTAAAAAGAAGTTCACCAACTTCAGTTACACGCCATACCACGTTTCTTATTTCACGAAATGCGAGGATTTGATTGGTCCAACGAACTGCATGTCTTTACTGATGCGAGTCCTCAAGCCTACGGCGCCGCACTTCACATTCGATCAGCGAACGATGGAGGAAACATCAAGACTCATTTACTAGTAGCAAAAGGTCGAGTTGCTCCACTAAAAGGCAAACTCTCCCACGGTTAGGAATGATAGGAGCACTCATCGGAGCGCGGCTTTTGCAGTACGTCTAGAAAACGTTTGATACACATGACTTAATTTGCTACTTGTGGACGAATTCCATGATTTCCCTGAAGTGGATTCAAAGGCAACCGCAGCGCTGGGAAACGTTTGTAGCAATCCGTGTCGAAGATATTCAACGGCTGAAGGTTAATTCCCACCTCAGATACTGCCCTGGTAAGGATAACCCGGCCGATGTACTCACTAGAGGGATCTCTCACGAAAAACTGAAGATTACTCAATCATGGTGGGAAGGCCCTCCGTGGCTCTAGATACCTATGTCCGAATGACCAGATAAGGAGAAAGCACAAGGGGAGCAGGAAGGTTGGGTATCCACCGCAGTTGTACTAGCTAGAACGAAATATTTTGAACCACTCCTTGATCTTCATCGCTACAGCAGCTTGCGTAAAGTAATCAGTTACTGCTTGGATACTTCGCTTCAAAAAAAAAAAAAAAACTGCTCAGGAGAAAAGTGGTCAGCGAATCACCTATCGGTGGACGAAGTAACCCGAGCAGAAGAGTGCTGGATAACAAATGCTCAAATCAACTAATTTTTAGAAGAGATAGCGTTCATACATAAAATTGAAAGAATAAAACACGGAGGACAAGCACAGGACCAGGGTGTAAGATAGACAGGTGGGGAAACGGCCCATGGAAACCTACCGCAGCGCCGTGACCGGATTGTGTACTCGTCTGCTTGCGGGTGTCTTGCGGGTACCCCCGATTTGCGACAGATGGCGCTGCGGCGAGAAGAAAAAAATTGGAATCGAATTTGCATGGAACTTTATGGGAGAGTGCGCAAAATAAACTGAGAGCACGGCAGTCCTCCATTGAAAATCCACGAGAAACCTTCTCCGTCAGTTTAACCAGTCGCCAGCGTTCGCCCACCTGGAGTGAGAGTTCGCGGTGCTCCACATAGATGGCGCCACAGAAAAAGAGAAAACCGAGGGGGACACAATTCGGTCGCTCATTAGGCTCTCGTTTCACCACCTGTCTATCTTACACCCTGCACAGGACAACCACTTTCGTCTTTGTGTTTTTGTGTTTTGAGCACTAAAATGTATACTAAGTTCCAAAACCAACTAGCCCAACAATCTACTCGACTCAAATACACCGAGGGACTGCCCACGTTTTGGCAAGGTCATTAAATACGTCGACGTATTCAATGACTAGCCCAACAACAATAGCGTCACTAGCTGAAAAAGGGAGAGTAAGTCAAAGCTCCAAAATAGCCGCGCTTAATTAATTTCTCTATTACAAAGAAGTGTTGCGAGTGGACGGAAGACTCCAAGAGTCGCAGTCAACCGAGGAAGTAAAGCATCCTATCATTTTATCAGTGGACCACCGTCTAACCGAGTGGATGGTCTCAAGCGCACACCAATGAGTTCTGCAAGGAGGAGCTGCTGAAACGCTAACGGTACTACGTGAAAGATTCTGGATAATTCGAAGGAGGCAACTGGTGAATAAAAGTATACACAACTGTCCTAGAAGCTCGTGATATCGGCTTAAGCCTCTATAAGCACCTACAGCTCCTCTAATTACAGGCCGTATCAAGCCAACAAACCCTTTTGAGATAGTAGGAGTAGACTTCGCAGGTCCAATTTACACCAAAAACACGACACCTAATAAAGATTTTATAGCGCTCGTTACGTGCGTTGTGACAAGAGCGGTCCACCTTGAAGTCGTATTCACTATGTCTCTCCAGACGTTATTAGCACTGCGTCATTTTGTTGCGTGAAGAAGTCTTTCAAAGGTAATCTACTCAGACAACGCACTGACCTTCAAACGTATGTCTAAGGACATCACGGAAGTATGGACTGCCTTACGCCATTAGGACATTCAAGACTGCGTTGCCCATCATCACCTTTCGTGGAAATTTAGTTTTGAAAGGGGCACCCTGGTTTGGAGGTTTTTGGGAAAAATTGGTGCGTAATGTAAAATCACCCCTTCGAAAAGTTCTTGGACGAAGTTCTCTAAACTTTGAAAAGCTCACAACGGTGATACAAGAAGTCGAAGAAGCGGTGAACTCACGACAGTTGACATTTATGCGCTCAGAGCACGACGAGCCGAGAGATTTAACGCCAGCTTATTTCTTGATCGGCAAGCGACTAACAGCCCTATCGTCATTCACAGAAGATAAGCTAGAAGATCGAAGATGAGATATATTTTCAAAGCGCTGGAACTACCGACAACGACTAGTTGCACAGTTTTGGAAAAGATTAACGACTGAGTATCTTCTTCAACTTCGTTCAGTACACCACGCGAAGCCACAAAAAAAAGAATGACCTAAAGGTCGCAGACGTTGTGATCATTCATCAACCACAGCGTCGAAAAACGGTTTGGAAAATAGGACGTCTAACATGAGTACAGCCTAGTCGAGACTCCCATGTCAGATCATGCGATGTGCAAGTGGCAAGCGGACAAGTCATGCCACGACCTGTGCAACTAATTTATCTACTCCAGTTGCCTCGCTGACCCCCTCGGGCGGTAGCCTGTTGAATATTTTCAACAGCGTCCAATCCAATGAAAGACAACGAGGGGCACGCCGGCAGCCCGAGCGGGCACGAGAAAACTGCTCGAGGTGCTCGCTTCCATTCTACTTTTTCTTTTTTGTTCGCCACACCACAGTGTAATGCTCAAACGGGTCTTGTACCATAAAACTCTTTTACCATAATTCAACACCTGGAAGATCGTCTAGTTATTTAACAGCATCTTCTAATCCCATGTCTGTGTCTTTTCTGCAGTCATTTTAAGACGTCGCTTTGGCAGGAATAGGTGTTCTTCTATTTGATGTTCTGAAATAAGAAACTTGACGCTCACGCTAGAAGATGGGACTGGGAGTGAAATGTACACTCGCTAATCTCGTTCAAACAGTTCCTTCAACGTTATAATTCGACAAACTTATTGCCCAACTAAGCACCCCGAAAGACATATGTTATTTCTGGAAAACAGGGAAGAGAGTCACCAATGTCAGGGTAATAATGTTCGAAACAAACCGTGGTCTCCTTGATTACAAAGCCTTAAAGGGATACTGAACCAAAGAATTTACTGCCCATATTAAGTGGCGCACGTTCTTTTCACGAGCCAGCAGCCGCCGGTGTGAGCGAGCACACGCAACGAGAA